GCGGGGGGCCGAATGGCGGGCCCGCCCCCTGCTCTGAGGGGTGGGGGTCGCTGTGGGAGCTCGCCTGGCCCCGGGGTCTACCTGGGGAAGGGAGGCGAGGCAGGGTTTGCATTACACTGTGACTCTTGGGTCTGCACAAAAAACTTGAGGTAGTTCAGTGATTAACAAGCCCGCCTAAGTGAAGGGGCAGTCCGATTGGAGACACCTCTCTTGTGATTTTTATGTTTTTGGGGGTGGCCCAGCTCCCCCATAATTTGCACCCTTGGGGGGTGTTCTCCTATTTAAATAAGGTGATTTACTAGCTGGAGGAGGAGTGAGGAAGGTGGTGGCACTGTTTGGCTGTGGTGCAGCTGGCAAATGTGGTCTAAGTTGGCAGGTGCCAAGAGGGCCCCCCGCTTCCCTCCTGCCAGCCAGAGTCAGCTGCTCCCACAAGAAGGGCACACAAGATGTGCCATGTCCAAGAAATCTTCCCATTTCCCCGCAGGCAGGACAGAGAGGTTCTCCGGTAACTCGCCCCTGTGTGTTGGCCAGTTTGTAATGCCAAGGTTGCTGCAGAGTTCATGGCTAATCCCCATTCCCCTTGTAACATGGGTATTTATCTGCTAGGTGGCAAGTAAAGCTATGATCCTCAGGCTGTGGCCCATGCGCTGGATCTGGCCCCTGAGCTGACCGAGGTGCAGCCTGTGGCTTCAGGGGCAAGCTGCTCAGTGCAGGGTTCCTTTCAGGCCTGGTGCTGTGCTGCCGGCCCCTACTGCTCTCACCCTCCCTATGGCAGATATTGCTTACTCTCTGAGGGTCTTGTTACTCCTTAGGCTGTGAGCCGCGTAAATCTTGATCAAATTTTGGTGAGCTTGGTGCTAGGAGTCTGAGGCAGTCCCACCTTCAACCTGAGCCACATCTGTGGGGAGTGGCCGCAGCTTCCTGGACCAGGATCAGAGTCTTGCTCTGGAGTGGCATGCCTTTAAGCTGCATAACAAGTACTTTAAGCCACTTAAAGATGTTAATTTACAGACAGTCTAGTGTTTAAGAGCTGTAGGAGCTGTCCAGAATTGCCACGTAACAGCAGCCTCTCCTGTTCTCTCCTCTGCACTCGTCTCCTCCTCCCTTCTTTCCTCTCTCTCTTCCCCATCATGTGAAGTGGTGCTTACCAGTCTCCCTCCCCTTCCTCTGACATTGGCAGCCACCTTCCCCCCCACTCAACCAGTGAGAGGTGGTAGCAGTATAAATGTAGTTAAAAATTTATTTTTAGCTGAAAAACATGGTACAGTCATAATTGGATTTCAGGCTTTGCTGTATATTAAATATCTGTATTAACCTTTTTAGACTCAAGGTATCCCTCCATTAGTTCTGTGAATTGAGCAGCATCCCATTCCAAAACCAAAGTTATTTATGACCCTGTTTATTTCCTGGCAGAGTGGCCGAGCAGTGGGAGCAGGATTGTGACCCGGCAAGGATGAGCCAGAATCTGCATTTACCTCTCTATACCTGCTTATCTCTTAACACCTCATAGCACCCTAGCATGTGCTGGCATCCTGTTTAAGATCACATATATAAAATTGTCCAGATGAGCCAGATGACTACTTAGCATAGTTATTTGAACATTGCATTTGCATCTCCTCTATTATAGAGCCAGCAGAGGGAGCACTGCTTTTGTTGTTTCAAGGTCCAAGTTATTTGGGTAAATGTGCTATCTTTTATTAGACCAACTAAATAGTTGGAACAATTATTCTGTGCAAGAGCAGAAGCCATCCAAGAGAACACAAAACAACAGCGGACTCTCCGTGTGCCTGAAGAAGGCTGTTTGTATCCAAAAGCTTGCAAAGAAGAATTTTTCCAACTATTTAGTTGGTCTCACAAAAGATATCACATTTACCCAAAAAACTTTGTTTGCCTATGCCCTTAGACCAACACAGCTACAACCAACTCCCGCCACACACGATCATAACACTTAAATAGGAGGAAATGCATTAATTTCAAAATCTGTTAAAAATGGTGGGAGAGGTAGTGAAACTTCCAAGAGTAAAGCAGAATCCTAGATGATTAATCTTTTCTGATTGTGGTAAGGGTCATTATTTTCTTCATTCCCCAGTTTGGGAAGAAAGTACCAAGTTAGAGTAGTTGTTCTCAACCTTTTTGGATTTGAGGCATGTCTCACTGGACTCGAGGCACCTTTTCATAACTTCTTTGAATTAAGTGGCACCCAGTTCGAAAAACTATGTATTAGAAGGCTTCCTTCCATGCAGAGGGGCTGAGTAGTGGGGGTGGGGAATCATTCAGGCAGGGACACGTCTGAGCCTGTGCTTATCTGAATAACGTATCTGTTTATCTCACTCCGGCACCCTAGTTTAGAAACACTGTGTTCAAGTACAATTTTTGTATATGATGAAATGTTTTACATGTTCCACAAGAGGTGACTTAGATTTCTGTAGAAAGGACG